CCACCTCAGGTCTATAGTTTTGTATATGGACCTGTTTAGTATGATATATAATACACATATGCCATGAATTTAGTTATGCATATTTTGCATGTATTTTTGGTATGGTGAAATTAGTACCAAGGCAACATATATGCTGTGATTCACAGCACCTCCTTATAACTGACTAAATAACATCATGTCTGCAAAAATAGACCCTGAACTGGACGATATTCTTCAAAAGCAGTTGGACAAAATATCAGAATGCTTGTATGATCGAAAAGTACCTAAACTTATAAGCATTATTAATGTACAATTCTTTTTATATAGAGAATCTGACTACCGGTATATCAAAAGATACTCTACAATTGGTCAAAGCAGAAATGGTCACAGGCAGCCTACCATTCAAATATCACAAAAGATGACTGTTGACTATAAAATATTTGCTGAAATTGTATCACAAAAACTGACTTATATAGCACAAAAATAATAATGATTTTGTATAATACATAATTGGGTTTTATTTTTTTAAAATAGAGTTTAAATTTAGCACTTAAATTATTCTTTTGACCACATACAAACAAACATGCCCTATAATCTCGTAGGCTGAGCCCAACCAAGACAATCCAGTTGGCAATTCAGTGTTACTTTTTAAAATTTAGTACACCTTAAAAATTAATCAGACACAAAATTCTTGGGATAATTTACAAAGAAAAGTCCACTGTCTATGTCAAAATAAATACACTTTTCATAGACTTGATGCCTTGAAATGTTTAGTCTGATCTGATTATGGTAACTGCAAAATAAAATTACATTTTAATCATTATGACTGTACTATGTGTATACTTACTCGATTAAATGAAATTGAATAATGTTCGGCAATAACAAAGAATAATGCTCATGTACTACTACTGTAAATGAATTCTCATCTCTAAACTCATCAATTAATCCAAACTTCATTTCATCGTCATCAATGAAGGTAATGGCAAAATCAGACTTTCTTTTTGACCTACATACATGCAAATTAACATCACTTTGATACACACAATGCATATACTTAATTTACCCAAAAAAATCACTTTTCATATACCTTAAGCCTACTATTTTTAGCATCTACTAAATTTAGCTATATTAGCGATAGAGCTTTAAATCGCTAAATTAAATAGACGCCAAAATAATTATTATTCATTATAATGGTTATTTTTTATAGTTAATTTAGTTAAAAATGCTAAAATTAGTAACGCTAAACATGACTTTTGCTGATTTCACTAAAATTAGTAGATGCAAATAATAGTAGGCTCAAGGTAATTAAAAGGTTATTGGCTGGGTGAGTGAAATTAGCTTAGTGGCACAAAAAGTAAAAATTCCAGCTATGATATGTAATTAAGAATGGTCACCTTGAATAATGTCTTGTAGTAATTCTTCCTATTCCCTTGATATAACAAAATTTTTTGCTCTCATTATATCTGTGAATGAAAAATGCATTACTTGTAGCATCATTATGCATTCTAGTATGATAGGAATAGCCATGGAACTTGGCACATTAGTGGGATATGGCCATGGATTAGAAAGATGTGATAGTTACATGTTACTAATAGCGTTTTGTGCTATTGTCATTAGGAATAGCTATAGACAGCACATACAATTATTGCAATGTCCATAGAAAGTTTTTATGACCATTTTTTTAATTTCAAAAAGTAATAGACCAATTCAAAATTAAGCGTGACCATAGATTTTATAAAATCTGTCCAACACTGATCATATGCATTATAGTTACAAATCAATGAATTAGCATCAGTGCATAACAGTTAAAAGTCATGAAGTTAAGCACAATA